CAAACCCTACTCTGGCCTGACATGCAAGCTCATGTAAACATCATTCATTCAACATGGTTCAGCAGATTGAAAATGTTTCTAAAAAGGATACATTATTGACGAAGATACATTTCCATGAGCTTTTTTTCAGTGGTGTTCATTGTTTGAGACATATTTTTTGGTTTGAGGAATATTTTCAAATCTGATGACTGGGGGTCTTTAGAGACTCTTTGCAGGATTGCTCTGTTGAAACCCCAGCTAGGGTTAGGGTTAGTAATTCAAAAGTTGTAAGAAAACCTTTTCTATTGCGTAAACTCTCTTAGTTTTCTCATCTAACTTACAATTAGATGTATCACTTCAGTCAACATTTAAAGGTTCTTGTAATCTTAACCCTACACTGGCCTGAAATGCTCCCTCATATCAATACCATTTTAAAGCAGTTTTCAGCTGATTGAAATTTGTCTAAAGAAGATACATTATTGAACAAGATAAATATTCAAGAGCTGTTTTGAGTGGTTTTCATTGTTGTAGACCCATATTTAGTGGTTTGAGGAACATTTTCAAATCTGCTGACTGGGGGTCTTCAGAGACTCTTTGCAGGATTGCTCTGTTGAAACCCCAGCTAGGGTTAGGGTTAGTATTCCCACACTACTTACACAGTTGTTACGCTCTGTGCTGGATTTGGGGTCCCAAGTAAACTTTAGGATGAGTGTTAATTTGCTCCTAGCTGAAACTTTTTTTCTGAGACTTTTGGGTGCTCATAATGTATATCGCACTGTTCAGTAGTTGTGTTCCAAAACTGTGTTAGATCAAAAGGTGTAAGAAAACCAGTTTTACTGGGTAAACCCTCTTAATTTTCTCATTTAATGTGTAACTAAATGTATAACAGGAGTCAAGATTAAGTGATTCTTGTATCGCAAACTCTACACTGGCCTGAAATGCTCCCTCATTTCAATACCTTTTTTACTGAATTTTTCAGATAATTGAAAATTTGCCTGAAGAAGAGACATTTCCAACTTTTTCCAGTGGTTTTCATTGTTTCAGTCTGATAGTTTTTTTGGTTTGAGGAAGATTGGTTGACTGGATGTCTTCGGAGACTTGCAGCTAGATGTATAAAGTGGAGTCAACATTTCATGTTTTTTTTCTGAGACTTATACATGTATACCTACCATCATCTGAAGTACAACTATGCAAAAAATACTTAAGGTAAATATACTTCTGGGTCTTGAAAGTATTCTAACAAGGAAACAAGATATAATATACTGGACATTTAGCAAAAGTCTTTCACCACTCATTCAAGGCAGGATAATTACTATTGACTGGGAAATTACTCATCTAGAGTAGTGCTCACCTATGAAAACAGTGACAAAACTGATCTACTGTATGTGCAGACCAACACATCTTACTGGACTTCTTTTGTGGATAAAGTTATGGAAACAATAGTTAGAAATAATCTACAGTATATGGATACTCACCATAGATTTAGAAAAGGTATAGTAGATGTTTTTTTAACTGATTTTTAAGTTACTTTAGGACAGCAATACTAAATGACATGCATAAAGATTACAAAGTGTTTTATTTATATATTTTGAAGGCTTTTTAAGTTAATATTTGATTTAGGTGTAGTTAATGGATTGGAGACAGTTTCAGATTAAGTGATGAATTATTTAATTTGGGATGATCAATGTACTGTACCATAGGGGTCAGTTTTGGAACCACTGTTCTTCCTAATCAGTGAAATAAATGCAGATATACTGTAGATAGCAAACTAATGTGGTTTCCAGATGAAACCATAATGGAATGACTGGCAAATACTGTAGAACCTGCAAAGACAATTAGAGATTAAAGACTAGATTAAAACAGAACTCAAGCCTGGGGAAACACCTGGCAAACAATTAAGTGTGTAATGCAGAGAAGTGCTGTGTATTATAAACAGGTAGCAAACACATAGAATTTGGGTATAAAATGGAAAACATTGAGCTTGAAGACTTCCAGCCATCCATTTTTGAACCCCTTTATCCAGTATAGAGCCTAGCCCGGTGGGCAGTGGGTGAGAGGCAGGACACACCCTCGATGGGGTCCCAGTCCATTGCTGGACACACAAGGCCTTTTTTTCCAGAAGCCTACTAACCCGTGGAGCTGTGGTAGTTCAGACGGCAAGGGCATCTGGCTCCTGACCAGAAGGTCCCGGGTTCAATCCCAGGTAGGGGCAGGTGATATAGCTCTAATTCATTCCAGACGGCTCCCAGTTCCACTCGGCCTGCTTTCCCAGTGAGTTCTGGGGGTTAATCTTTCCAGGGGTAACAGGCCAGTTCACAGGTGTGATGCTGACCCCATCACCTCCACCTCCAGTGTTGGATGGTTGAGAAACATGGTGGCCCTTGCCCCCCATTCCTCGTGGGCCTTTATGGCCTGAAGAGGAACTGACCTACTAACCCACCTGTATGTCTTTGAAGTGCGGGCTCAAACTGGAGTACCTGGCCACTGTGGCACCAGGATCAAATTTTGGTCACCGCATTTCCAAAAAAAGATGTAGTTGCTCTGATACATGTGCAGAGAAGAACAAGAGATACATTCTAGGGTGCTACAGTGAGAAGGTAAAATAACGCATTCATTTTAGGCGATTTAAAATCCTCATTGACAAAGTCAACTCAAAGGACTTTATCAATATCACCAGTAGAACACAAACCAGGAAACACAAGTGGAAACTTTGCAGAAGTACTTTTAAAATTGGAAACAGATGGGAGTTTTACAAACAGCGTTGTGGCATTGTGGGACAAACTAGCCACTTGGTTCAAACGTCTTTCAAGTCAAATTATCTTTGAATCTTTGGCAAAGTATCAAAGTAGTTGTTTCAAGAAACAGCTGCATAATATCTTAGGATCAGGTAGCTACTAGCAGTTAGCAACTAAATGGGCTGATTTGGCCTCCTTTTGTCTGTAACCCATCTTAAATGATGTAACGTACTGTGGCATGGAGCGGCAGAGACAGTGCACACAGCTCACCTGCACGTTCCTCCATCCAGTCGGCTGAGCAATCACCAGATGGCCACACGTGGGAATAAACACTCTCATGCTGGAGAGTCCAGGGATGACACCCTCGGTGTAGCTGGAACAGTGGGTTTAGTACAGATCTTGAAATGTATTCAGTGTAACAGTGCGGTACGATTACCACCGGCGCCAATAACCTGATTTGTATTAAAAAGCTTTAATGGCCTGTTTAGACCATTTCACTCCTGCCACTGAAATAGCCATTCCCTTACAAATATCTCTGCAACCCTGTTATGATTTATTTTTATAAGCATACTTTGCTGTTTCCCACTGAGATTGTCATACTGGTTTACAAAAAGCAGTTGCACAGCCTCTGTGTCGGGATGTTACCATTGTACTGGAGATGTTGGTGATGGTAATAGGGTTCAGGCTGAATTATACTATATATCAGTCGTAGCTGTTGGTAGTGAGCCCTTAAACTCTCCAGTCCCTTGGGCCTGTTGTTGCTTGTGGTTGCCTAGTTAGTAGAATTACTGTCGTCTGTTGAAGGGGGCTGGATGTGCTCTGAATGTCCTGGGACTTCATGTTGGATTCAAGCCAGCAAAATACCCAGCGTACAGCCCCTTCCTGTGAGCCAGAACACTGCAGCAGTGTGACTGAACGGACATGTTTTTGTGCATTTTATTCCTGCACTATTCAACTTTGTACACGCAAGCCCACAGGCATACATACCATTTAACATCTCTCACACTTTTTGTCATTTCATACTTACAGTATAACACCACAGATGTATCATCTCACCTTCCTCGCTGGGTTAGGATAAAGGAGCCGTGTCAGTGTGTGAGCTGCAAAGAAACAGGCAGGCTAATTCCATGCTGAAAAAGGTATCTAATTTCACAATGCTGGCACTTTTTGTGTGTAAACAATGCTGCTAAGTAAGGTTTTAGTAGTCTCAAATGTTTCACTACCATAATGAAATCCAAATTTCACCCCAGGTTCATGACTGTGAATCCCTGGACATGCTTTACGTACTTTAGCCCAACCAAATGGGACATAAGCAAAAGTTCAATGCTTGACATTTTTTCAAACTCAGAAATCTGCCCAAAACTTAACTTTTTTGTCATTAACATCTATACATTATTAGCTGACTTTGTGGAGCCTTCCCATGTAGTTATAATGGCCTAAACTGGGAATACTGTAAATAAAAAATATTCGTATTTATTGACCAGTTGGATACTGGAATTCAAAAAAATTTTGAAACTGGTGACTAATGTTTCAAAACAATATGAATATTTTAGAACACAGTAAAAGGTAAGGGCTAATTTGCCCAGTAGCCCTCATTTGGTAAAATGAAAAAAGTGAGAAGCCCCTCATATTTTTCTGCTAAGCTGAACTCGGAAAACATGGAAGCAGAATTGTGTCAGGAAACTGGATTAATGTCTCGTTTGAATGATCCCACACCTTACAGCACAATGCGAAGCATCCATTTCAATTTTTTTTCAATGCTAATTTTTGCCATCTGACTTGTCTTGGATAGTTAGACTTAGATTTTGGAGTTTTGATTCACTTTTCAGAAACTGCTCAATTAATGATGCATTTTCATGTGAACAAAAACACCCTTTCCTTTGCATATTCATCATGTGATGATAATGGGTTTTATATTTTCATTGATTGTGCTAATGATGTCATCAAAAGGAGACATTTTTCTTTGAACCACTATACCCATTTATCAAATGCTTAAAAACAGTTGCTTATATTAAGTGATGTATCCATTATTACTACTTTAAATCAGTATTTTGTGATGTAGTGTATGTGACAATAGGGAGACTGTTCACTTATTTAAACTAGTACTCTACTGAACACCTCTTGTGATTAAGTATTGTGTGTTTAAGGCAAACTAGTAAACAGAATAAAAGATTGATGACTGTGGGTAGAAGCTTTTGTGTGGAAATGTATTATTACAGCTCTGACCACTGTCAACAAAGTGCTATATGACAAACATACAGAAACTGAACTCTTTTTGTAAAACATTTTATTGAAAATATCCACACCAAATGTTCTTCCAGTGCTGAAAATATTCATTTAATTTTCTTAACAATAATTAAAAACGGTTTATTGTGCTATTATAAAATTAAAAAGTTTCAAAAGCAAAACAGAATGTTCCAGAGGACAAAGACATCTACAATCATGTACTGAAGAAATGGTCCTTCTATTCCAGGAGATAGTTTTCATATGGAAACTGCTTGAGATGTGTTATACAGTCTGAAAGTGGAAAAATATGTTGTGAGCAACAACATTTAGTCAAATATTGCATACATGAGATATAAGTGAATAATACTAAACTATTACTGGGATACTCTTTGCTTCCGTTATCCTAAAGAACATGTTATGTACTTTATGATTTAAATACAAGATAAAATGGCAGTGAGTTCAGGAACAGCACTTTGTTCTTGCACAGTACAGATAATGGACAATGCAGGATTTCATACTGCTGAAGTAATTCTAGACCTCAAAGCAAATAGCTTAAAACTTTAGTTCACGTGCCAAAATATTAGATACCCTTTGCAACAGTGCCCCTAGTGGACATACTGCTAATTTATCCGTTCTGAAAGTGTGCTCCACAGCCCTGTCCTCCGAACTGAAGTATTAGCAAAAGTGTAAGTATATAGCTCTCTGGGGAAGTGTCTTACCTAGTACCCACTGCTCAGACAAACAGTGGGTCCCGGGAGCCGTCTTGCCCTTGTGGTGGCCGATGCAGATCCCAGCCTGCCTGACAGTTCTGCACACCTTCCCTCCACACAGCAGGATGAGCTCAGCCAGTCTCCCGCAGGGCGGCTGACTCAGCGGGGAGATGAACATCACTGGCTGCCTCGCGAACAGGTCCTGCTGGTGCTCGCCTGCTGACAGGTGCTGTTGCAATCTGCAGATCTGGGTGCCAAAGACAGAAAGGAAGGGACCTTTCAGGCTTGCAGGCTATATACTTTCCTCCAGTGGAAAAGCAAATACCAGCGAGAGCAAAGAAAGTGTGAAATTAGGTGTCACTAGCTGTCACTGAACCTCTGAACCTCTTTTTCCAGGACACTAACGCTCTTGGTGAAGGCGTGTTGTACAGGTTTATCTTACGCATCAGGAGGACTGTAATTGAGTCTGGGCTTAAGCTCTGAAAGAACAGAATTACCCAGTCACAACAGTGAAAATGTAACTTGTAAGCAGTATTACAGTTATGGCTGAAAAACACAAACATTGTACAAAAAAAAACTTTTTTTAAACGAGTCATCTCTCTGTCGTTCGTTTAATGAAAATAAAGAAACAAAGAGGGACACGTATATTAAATATAAATTCTAAAGTATTTACACAAATATACAACTGTGTTGGTCTTGACATTTCCACTGCTTTATGGGAAATACTTAATTGCTTTTCAAATATTCTTAGACAAAAACAACAACTCCAATTCAGGTCAGGGTGGAAAAATTGAGAGAAACATCCAGAATCCCAATTAGCCCCTGTTGTTAGTGCTGTTAGCAGACCAGTAGGTGGCACACTTTCCTCTTGACCAGAAATTCCCAGCCACACCACAAAGTGGTATTCTGTACTGTAGGAGGTGCTGTCCTTCACAAAAGATGTTAAATTGACAAATTGACTACTTGTATTCATTAAAGATCCCACTGTGATCTGTAAGTGTCACTTGCATCCATTTGTATCAGAAGTTTAATAGTATAATATCATAACAGTGGATGGAGGTGCATCTTTCCTGTATTTTTTAACCCAGAAACCTTGCAACTGTATTACACAAAAAGGTAAGTCAATAAGTAAATATGCAACTTTTTCAGCAAATAAGCTTCACAGTGGGTGGCGGGTGGGTATTTTATTTTTTATCATAGTCCCGTGTACTTCCTTACACTTGTCAAGGATGCCTGTCGCAATGGCAATACCATGACATTAGGTGCCTCCAGGGCCATTCAAGCAAACCCTCTTGAGCCACATCGCATCACTGAAGATCTGAGCGCCCTTCTAAGCCCTGCCCTTGGACGTGTGCATGCAGACATTTTCATGCAGATATGAAAAAGTTTTGTTTCAAATTGTAATTGCAGTTTTACCTGCACAGGTAGGCTAAAAGAAAAAGCAGATGTGAGATGTGCAGTATAGACTTGTTTGTGTTTTACCACTGTGGGAGCCCCATAGCCTGTGTCTTGCAGACTGGAGAACAGAAGCAGCTCGTAACTGCCAGGCCACAGGGGTCGGGCCAAGGATACCCTAGCTGACTAAAGTCCGCCAAACCTCTGGCCAGCTGCGGTCTCAAAACTAAGGCCATACCTTTACTGGTAATTTCGGGGTAATACTGTCCAACCTTCACTCTGAAGGGGGGCCTTTATTTGAGAACTACTGTACTTGCGAGTCGCTGTAGCTGTTTAATGAAACCAATGAAGGATATTTAACTAAATATATTGAAGGCCTCCTTCCTTGACTTATCAGCTGGAATCGCACTTTTGGAAAGTACACACAGCTGTGTATCACGTTTATGTTTTAAGTTTGTTTTGATTAACTAGGACTGTCCGTGACCCACCCTTCTGAACATGAAAGCCAAGTTCACAACAAAATCCAAAGCTTTTAAGTGAAACGGAAATTTTTTGCCTATCCATTTTAAGCTATCTTGTTTCTAAAATGAAAGGAAAAAAGAGATTTATCATTTTTATAACCTGTGTCTTATTAGCAAAGACTAAAACAGTGCTAGACTTCACTATACACCACCATCTCTCATGAAGAACTCTACACATTCTACAGAGTGACGGGATATGGGACTGAAGTCAATACAAAGATGTAGTAGAGTCAATGTCTTGTAAAATACTGAAAAACACGAGGATATATTCTGCATATCAAATCAAAAAAGGAGGGGTTGAACAAATAGTTGTGCTATATAAGCCCAATTCACTATTCAATTAAAGTTCTATCATCCTATGAGGGAAATTGATAATATTTTAATTTAAATATATTCATCCATAGAATGAAACTTAAATAAGCCTTATTTTAAATGTATCAGAACTCACCTGTGCAATTATATCACATTTATTGTAAACAGAAATAACAGTTTGAGCTGAAGAGCTCCAGGAAACCCAGCAGTATTACTGTGCCAGTTTCCCATTTACATAAGACTTCTTCTGGCTTTCCATGCAAAGTGAGCGATGGGAACTTAATTGTCCTGGGAATTATAAAATGACAGAAGGCTTATGAACACTGGCTGACATGCTCACAGTTTGTGGCTGCTCTTAGCAATACATCAAAGATTAAGCACAATAACTTTCTTTTCTCCTTGTTAAAGCTCCTGAAACTGTAGAGCACCAAATTTCTTTCCATGCATGATTGCTTTCAGTGTTAGCTGGGGGTTCAGTGTGTTCTTCTTTCTGGCATTGTGCTCCATCTTCGACTGCTGTGTTTAGCGCTAGACTCCATAAAAACTTGGAAAACAAATCAGTGTCCGTTGTGGGTCAGCAGCAAGCCTGAAAGGGACAATCTGCTTTGTCTTGAACGGATGCCAGAAAACTTGCTTTAAAAATGTATGGCTTCCTTTCCTGGCAAAGCTCTTTGAAAAGGAATAATTAAGGTTCAGAAGGACAAAACAAGAGTGGACATAAAAGGCTTAAAAACACGCAATAAACACTGTGCCATGAAGTATTGCAAGAAGGTCAAAATATTAGGAACCAGCTAACATACTGGTTTTCTTGGTGCCGGCAGTGTATAGCTGGTTTTAGGGGCATGATAAAGCCTTCCCTTCCCATTGGCCAGAACAATTCCAGATCTCAATCCTGCTGGGGATCCTGTATGCCATTGTTCTCACCACAACCTCAGCTGAGGACAGCCCTGAAAGCAGAATGGCACAGGACTGGGCTGTGCATGTTCCACTGGAAGGCAGCCTGGTAGAGCAGTGGTCAGTATTGCTGCCTCATAGCACTTGGGCCCTGACTTTAATACGGCCCTGGGGTGCTACTGTCTGTGCGTGGAGTTTGGACTGTGTGCTCTCTGCATGTTTGCTTGGGTTTCCTCCCACCGTCCAAAAACATACTGGTACTGTAGGTTAACTGACGTCTGGGGGAACTGGCCAGGGTGTAAGTGTGTGTTTGTGTCTGTCTGCCCTGCGAAGGGCTGGCGTCCTGTCTGGAATGTACCCCGTCTTGCACCCATTGCTTGCCGTGAGAGGCTCTGGCTCCCCCATCATTCTGGATGAGACGGTTACAAAACGGGTGGATGGATGTTCCACCGCCTTCCTGAATACAGGCCACATCCTGTCCAATTGTCCGAGCTGTATGAAGACACTCAAGACAGTATTTGATGAGGTCTCCAAATATTTCCACCAGTGAGTGAACAAGATACAACACTGGAAAAAAAAACTAAAATATTGAGTACAATACCTAAAAAGATCTCAATACATTCTGGGTGAATTGTACCGAAAACAGTTCCAGAATCAAGCCCTGTGCCTGCTAACTTTATTAAAGCGGTATCTTTTGAAGGGATAAGCACTGTTACACCATCTCCATAAATTACAAGTTTAAAGAATACTAGAAAATGAGAATGTTGCTTTTTTTATAAAAGTGCAACATTTGTGAGACACACAGCTGTAAAAATAAGTTTTTATTTGATGTCACAGAAGTTCACTTTAGTTATGCCATGTCACAACGAACCGCTGTTCCAGAAATATTTAAAAAAATACTGTGGCAGTATTGGTCTTGATCCACACATTTGACGACAAATGCAATGAGAGGAAATCAGCCCAGTCTGCCAGGGATTTCTGCTTTTAGCATAGCTTGGCACGTATTGATTTTACATGTACATCCTTTCATGCGAATGCATGCAATTCACCTCCAGTATTATTTTGTCAGATTTGTTTATACTATTCAGGAACTGTTATGTAATATGAATACATTCTAAATGTTTTAGAAATATCCATATCAGGCACTAAACAGAGCTGCTAACTTGTTTTATTGCTCAATAGAACAGAAGCTATTGAATTTTCCAATTGATAAAATAGCTTACAGCATCAGGCTGTAATTCTAGGTACTGTACATGCCCTTTATGTTTTAACCTTGGAGATCTAATCAAATATTCAAATATTAAACATTTCTGGTAAATTGCTTAAAAGGTTGTGGAAGTCAGAAAAATCAAGGTACATTATAATCCACTAATATGAAAGATCTCTATATCCTACATTCTGAGCCTGTAGATAAATATAGCTGAGGTATCTCAAGCCATTTATACTTTATTGTAACAAAACAGCTACTCTGAGATTACAGATGCTCTTTTATGGTATATTTTCTAGTTCTTGGGGTCTTTGTTGAAAAATAGGAACCCCAAGGCTACTGTTTAATTTAAATAATTTAAAAACGGAGCAGAGAAGAAAAATCTTTACCCATTTGTTTAATTGAAAAGGACTCCCATAACCGCATTATATATATATAAACCTCTTTACAGAGTAGTAGAAGCGTGTGGTATATCTGCATTGTTCTTTATCTTATGCCATGCTAGCATCTTGCAGACATAAGGATGCTATGGATCTTGGCCTATGTGTCATGCAGTAATGGACTGCTTGTATATCAGTGCAAACAGATTAATGGTAGCCATGTCTTGCCTACCTGTTCTTCAGAATAGTCATAAATTGGCTGTGTGAAACTACTTGATAGGCCATCAGATGAGATGTTAATCTCATTCTGATCCAGGGTACTTTCAAACCGTTTTTCTGTGGAAATACCAGCTGTAAAAATGTATTCAGACTGTGATTGACAATGGTATACACGGTCTTATGTACCTCTTTGTCTGCAGAGTGACTGACAGAGGAGGAAAATGCAAACATTCCAACATTTCTATGCAGCTTGTTTGCTTATGCTAACAAAGCTGAAGGTAGGAATTAATATTCTCGTCAAACAATCCTTTTTTCACAT